AATGGATTCCAAAGACGTTAGAACATATAGGAAAAATATAAATATAGATCAGACTAGTTTATTTAAAATCTGGAAGGCAGAAGAGATTCTGGAGTCAATATGCTGGAGCAGTTGAAGTTTTGAATGTAACGAGATGCTGTAAATTCTTCTGTAAACAAGGGAGACATGATGGAGTGAATTTACTTGTGCCATCCATTCACCACTCACTATATGTATAGTCTATAGGAAGGAAGAGAACAGTTGCCCTTCCCAAGGCCCTCAAATGTCATTTGTGAGGGGAGTGCTAGCACTTCAATAATATCTTAGTGGTACAGTAGTTCCAAACTTATACATGGGGGATACATTCCAAGACCCTCTGTTATGCCTAAAACTGCTGATAGCACTGAGCCCTACATATACTGTTGCTTTTTTTCTATACATACATACCTTCTTATGTAAAGGGAGCACGTTATGACTTCCCTTTAGCATACCCAAATTGCCAGCATCGCTACTCTTGTGCTTTGGGGCCATTTTTAAGTAAAATAAAGGTTACGTGAAGGGAAGCACTGCGATCCCTTGACAGTTGACCTGATAACTGAGAAAACTAATCAGTGTCTAATGGGTGGGCAGAGTGCACAGAGTGGAGACACTGGGCAAAGGGATGCTTCACACCTATGGCTGGATGGAGTGGGACACTGTGAGATTTCATCACTCTTTCAGAATGGGGCACAATTTAAAACTTATGAAGTGTTTATTTCTGGAACTTTCCATTTAATGTTTTCACACTGAGGTTGACCAAAGGTAACTGAAACTGTGGAAAGGAGGGACTACTGTACTCTCCGTAAGCTGATGACGCTGGTGGAATACGATGACATTGAAATGAGCTCTCTGTTTTCAATGCTATAAAAGCATATAGGATGTCAGACACAATAACAGCCATCTAATCACTAGAAGCATAGTGGAAAAGGTACTAAATGTCTCAGAGTGAGCTTTGATTATGACATTCTGATCATAGAGTCCCAGGGATTGACATTAGGGGTAACTCACTAAGCAGCTATTTGATTTGTTTAACTTAAACAAAAAGACAAGCAAAACAATCTGAGATTTACTTGATAGTCATAGCTCCTTATCCAATTCCCAGGTATGAGTCAGTTCCAAAGCTTAAGTAAAGTGGGTGCCTAGGAATCCATATAGAAGAACCTCCCAAAATCGTCATGTCCCTGTGCATAGGAATCTGCATTCAGTCTTCCTTAAAGACACTTGCAGCCATTGAACAAGAGAACACTTAGAGGTTGGGGTTATCACAGCCTTAGAGAAAACCATACACCTCAGTTATATTTGGAGGTTAAAGGGTCAAGTGATATATGGAAATTTGACAAGAATCTGCTTTACAGCAGGGCCACCTCTGTGCTCATCCTAAAGTTATTTTCCTAGTTGTTAAATATTGATACACAAATATTCGGTAACAATAAGAGCTCTCATACTTATTTTATGATATACAGATGAAGTACTACACTGAGTGGCCAGATTATTATGACCACCTGATATTTGTAGGCAAATTAGCTATAATTTCATGCTGAAGTTGCTAGAGGGCCAGACCATTATAAATAGAAAAACAGGTTGTTTACCACAACAGAAGTGATTTTTTTCTGAAGATATGGGTAAACAATGCAATTTAACAACCTTGGAATGTGGGATATATTTAAACGTGAGTGGCCAGATTATTATGATCACCTGATCAGTACTTCATTGGGCCACATTTTGCCTTCAATACTGTGGTGATTCTTCTTGGCATTGACTCCATGAGATGTTGAAAGGTGATGCGAGGAATCTGACACCATGCCTGATGAATAGCACTGTCCAGTTCTGTGAGATTTGATGGTTGTGGAACCACAAATGCTCAATTGGATTGAGATCTGGTGATTGTGGGGGCCACCTAAGCAAGGTAAAGTCTCCCTCATGTTCTTGAAACCACTCCTGCACAATACGAGCACCGTGGCATGGCGCATTGTCTTGTTGGAAGAAGCCATCTCCATTGGGATACGCCATCAACATGACAGGATGAACTTGATCAGCAATGATACTTAGGTATGTTGTGCTATTCAGACATTGTTCTACATGAATTAAAGGTCCAAAATCATGCCAGGAAAACATGCCCAAACCATAACACTGCCCCCACCAGCTTGAAGGGTTGTACTCATGCATGTGGGGTGCATACTTTCATGCTGTTTCCACCAAATTCTCACTCTGTCATCTGCGTGATGCAACTGGAAACATGATTCATCGGACCACATGACTTTTTTTCCAATGCTCGACTGTCCAATCCTTGTGTTCCTGTGCGAATTGGAGATGTTTTATGTTGGTAACTGCAGACAGCAAAGGTGTTCAAACAGGCCTTCGGCTTCCATATCCATTTGATGCAGTGTACGGCTAATTTGCCTACAAACGTCAGGTGGTCATAATAATCGGGCCACTCAGGATATATTTGTAATAAAGGCTCTCATTTCTTAGCAATATAGTAAATATAAAGTTCCATGTAGTGGAAGGCAGTAGTGGGCACATAGAACCTCCACTCCTGACTTCTCAAAGAAACAAACAAACAAACAAAACTACTATAGAAAATCCATACTTTCAACATAATCAGAAAACTTTAAATTAATTGTTAGTAGAAAAATAAACACCAAATCCTACCAAACAAAGCTATTACCCACTGTCCATGCCACATTATTTGAATAATACAAAGATGGTTCTAGGAAAATTGCACCAAGAGTATATAGGAATTTATGACATGCCTAAAATTGATTGTAAAAAAACAACAAAACAAAACAAACAAACAAACAAAAAAACCAAAACCACATTACCTAAAAGGAAGTCCACACAAATACAAACGTACTTGCATTTTTGTTTCAGAGCACAGCCTATAGGAAAGGTTTAAAGTGCTTTGGGATCTGTGGAGTCAGCCCTAGGAAAGTACTGTTTCAAGGGAAAAAGAGGGTTAGAGGGAATGTACGGGTGACTTTTGGAAACTGGGCAGAAAAGAGAAAAATAAGGAAAAGGCAAAAATTTAGTAACCTTCAAGATTAAAAACTAAAAATAAAAAGGTACACAGAACTTCTCTTCTCTTTTCTCCCACCTATCCTCTTTCTCCCAAATTAGTAAAGAAATAATTCTTTGCTACATTGACTGAAGATATGCTTTTGAACCTGAAATCTCATAAACCATCCAACCACCCGCCCTGTCTACAGAATGCAGAAAGACAAAGACAGCCAGTCTATTTATCTATTGATCTATCTTCTTTTAAGATTTCGGGAAAATTAAAACCCAAACAGTTCCAATGATGAACATTTTCCTAATAAATTAAAGTCTATTAAACTCAGAAAACTTAAAAAGATAATGTAATATTAGGAATGAAGATTAAATTACAAGTTGCTTAAGAAAGAATAAATGTAATTAAAAACAGTATAAGGGGCATTTAAGAAAAACAGGAAAACAGAGACAATAATAAAAATTAGATTTAAGAAAAAAATCAAAAGGATTAGAAAGAAAGTGGTTGAAATGAAAGAAAGGCAAAGAAGAAATAACATGTGTAATTGGCATTTTAAAGGAGATTTAAGAAAACAACAATAATGCAACAAAAATAGTATTTAAAAGTATAATTTGTTATTTCTACTATCAGTGATGACTATGAAAACGCAGCTAGACAAAATCTTCTGCAGACAACAGCTACAAACTCTGAAAAAAAAAATACAAAGGGTGGTTGCTGGAGAGAGAACAGAAGCAGGCAGATTTTATGGAGTCCATGATTGGAAACAAGAGTTGTATAGTGAGTTCTCTGAATTGTTGGTGTTTGCTTATCTGTTTGTTTTTAGTTTGGGGAAGGTGCAGGTGCTAGGGGCACTGGTGGAAAAAATTACAGTCTTTCTGGCTAGAAAAACCAGCAAATTCAGACTGGGAAAAACAGACACTGGAGAAGGAGATATATTTCCAAATAAAAAAGAGCCAGAGAAGGAGTATTTGATTCATGTCTGCCCCCATCTCAGGATGATTTATGTACCATGCATGGTTGAAGTAGGCTCCAAAAATCTTAGCTTAAAAGTTTTTATCTGAGATTAGAGCTAGCTTCCAGGAATGAATTTGCAGTTGAAGTCCAACCAAGTTAGATATCTGCTAAAACAAACAAACAAACAAACAAACATATAAACCTGAAAACCAGCTCATCAGCAAATAATAGCAAGCCAGAGTCTCCTTAACAGCAATACTGTCCAGGATGCAATCCAAAATTACCTGACATAAGAAGATCTAGGAAAATAGAACTCATCGTCAAGAGGAAAATGGTTAAGGAAGACCAAAATCGAGATGACTCAGATTTTAGATTTAGCAGATAAATATTTTAAGGAAGCTATATGTCCTCAATAATGGAAAGGAAAATATACTTAGAATGAAATAAAAGATACATACAGGCTGAAAATAAAGGTTTAGAAAAAGATATTCCATATAAATGGAAACTAAAAGAAAGCAGGGGTAGCTACCCTTATATCAGACAAAATAAACTTCAAGCTGAAGACTGTAATACAGACAAAGGAAATCATTATAAAATTATTAAAAGGTCAATCCAACAAGAGGATATAACATTTGTAAATATTTATGCACCTGACATAGGAGCACCTAAATATATAAAGCAAGTATTAGCATACCTGAAAAGAGAAATTGACAACAATGCAATAATAGTAGGGGATTCAATAGTCCACTTTCAACAATAGATGGATCATCCAGACAAAAATCAACAAGGAAACATAGGAATTATAATACATGATAGAGCAGATGGACTTAACAACTTTTACAGAACATTCTGTCCAGTAGCCGCAGAAGACACATTCATTCAAAGCACACATGGAACGTTGTCCAGGATAGATCATATGTTGTGATCCAAAGGTCAAAATTATTATTGTCATTGGGATGCCGACGGGACTGCAAGGGGCAGCAACATGGCTGTGGTGGGAAAAGGTGCAGGCTGGGCTGCATGTGTATGATGATACCTTGGTACTGCTGTAAACTGCTGAGTGCTTGGTGGGGAAGCCCATCTTGAAGAGCTGAGCTTGCTGCCCGCCTGGTGTGGGATTCTGGAGCTGGGAGGGCTGGTCCTACATCTCATGACTCAAGCCTCTGTCCCCAGCTCCCACATTCAAGCATCTCTTAGGACAACTAGCACAAGTACCATAGGACCTGGAGCAATAGAAAGCCCTACCACACAAAGCAGAAATGTGAGATGGTATACCACACTGCCAACAATAAGATCGACCTGGGGCAAACACACAGTCCATGTGTGTGGGAGTCAATAATAAGTGCCGGGCCTTGAGGCTGGATGCTGCAGCTTCTCCCAGGGTTGCAGGAGCAAAACAAGGATTGTGATGTTGTCTCTATGCATCCAACAGTGAACCGGCCCACGCCAAGACCCTGCTAAAAAACTGAAACATGCTCATTAACAACACACCGTGTTGGCAGTGATACAGTCCTGCTAGGCACTGCCCTGAGCCATAAGATGGGGGCCAAGCTGACTCCTGAGGAGGAAGAGATTTTAAACAAAAATCAATCCAAGAATATTCAGAAGAAATATGATGGAAGTAAAAGCAATACCCCAATCAGCAGTTTTTTAGAGGAACATTTCCAGCAGGGCAATCTCCTTGCAGCCTTACTTCAAGACCAGGTGAGTGTGCACATTGCACAGATGGCAATGTGCGGTAGGGCAAGAAGCTAGGGTTATAGCTGAGGAAAATTAAGGCCCGAAAGGCATATAAATCCTCCTCCCTCCTATCTTAGCTCATGGAATAAAGGTGTTTATTGTTCTAAAAAAATAACATTGCTAGTAATTGGACTAATCAACAGCATGTACCTCCTGATGTTAGGCACTAAAAAGGCAGTCTCATTTCTATTGTACCCCTGCCAACAAAGCATAACTTGAATCAAACCATAAGGAGCTATCAAACGAACAGGAACTGAAGACAGTCTATGAAGTAACTGATCTGTTCTATTGTTATTTGTTTGTTTTTATTTGGGTTTTTTTTGTTTGTTTTTTACTATGAAGGCCTTTACTGCAGAATTGGCAACATCTAGTGATATCTGTGAAACTAGACAATGTCTCATTCAAGTTAGTGTCTTCATTTTAATTTTTTATGGATATTTAACAAAATTATAAACTTAAAGAAAATATACACTATAGTATCCAGGGCTAAAGAGGTACCATGTATGCAATTTCCTTTTAAATGAATAAAAAACAAATGATAATAAGAGAGAAAATAGTAAGAAGGAGAAAGAAGAAAAAGAGTTCATGGAAAAGGAAAGAAAGAGTAAAATAATGCTGGGTGAAAGGATCAGACAGTTTTTGTGCTATTCTTTCAACTTTTATGTAAGATTTAAATTATGTCAAAAGGAGCAAAAATAAACATTCTCAGTGGGGAAAGCATAAGGATATAGATGCTGAGGGCAGCCCCATAATTCAAGTCTTGAAAGTTGCAATGCCTGCATGTGTCCACTTCACTTTCCAGCTTGACCAGTGGGGAAGATGGCTTGGCCATTCAGAGCCCATTAGTAATTGTAAGTTTAATCATGGGATGACACCAATTAAAGCTGCTGCTCCATATGTGGTCTCCTTAATAGAACAAATCCAAAGAGCCCTTGGGACCTGACATGTAGCTAATGATTTGTTTTTGTTGTTGTTTTTTCAGTGCCGGTAAAGAACAACTACTAGAGATTACAGTATGATTGACAACCTTTCCTTGAGGTAATGTAAACCATCGAGCTTTGTCCCAGGCAAACATCTTGACCAGCAGACATGTTGTTTTAAACCAATGGGGATATGGGGTGGGTGTTGGAGGATGGAAAGTTTTATTACTGCTGTGGCCTTATGATAACTGCAGATATGAGGATTGAAACATCAACTCATATTTCCTTTTTTAATATGTTAAGGATATATTTGTACATTTAACTAATTTCCTTTTTATTTCAACTACCCCTATTCATACCAGGTTTATTATTAAGTAATGTCACCATTTTGTTCATGGTCCATAATGTCATCATGGAATTGCCCCATAGGTAGAAAAGAAATGGTCATCCCCTCAGAAGTAGAGAGGCTACTGAGCTCTAAGTTGTAGAGGCTCATGGAGCTTTATCATCCTCTTCTTGGGAAGAATGTGAATCTATATTAAGTTGTATGAGTGATAACTGAATTTTAGGGGGACATTTTCTATTTTTAAGCATAAGAATGAGGAAGAAGATGTATGGGATTATTCCATGTGTAAAGGTAGACTGTGGGGGACATTTGTCATTCTTGGCTTCCCAGCATTTAAACTGTGAATTGTAGAAGAAGGATTGCAACCTAAGGTTATTCAGGAAGCGCTTGTGGTTGGTTGCCACAGACTCAAGCTTTCAAAAGGAAAGGAATGACCTCACCAGGCTGTGGTAGAATTTTTGGCTATGTCCTATATCCTTTAATTACTGACTATTTCCCAAGCCTGTTTTGAACATTACTAATAATTTTGTAAATTACCCAATATAATTTCAATAAATCCAATATCTGAGTAAATTAGGATGTTGTCTACAATACAACCTAAGCTGCTGTAGCAAATAATCTATCTCACAAATAGATTAATTTTTTTTGTTGTGTAAGTATGAAGATGTATGTAATTCAGAACTGTCAGTCAACATGTTACCGTCGGGTTACCGTCTGTTGTTAGTGGGAGTGTAATTCTTGTGATATCCAGAGAAAAGGAATTTTCTGGGACTCGATTGGGAGGATGAGGTATTGCAGAAAGCTTTATTTCTGTGGAATTACCCCTGAATTTCCAAGGTCCAGAAGTGGAGCTGTGACTTTAATAGAGCTGAAATCAAAGCCAGTGTCCAGATTGTTCATTCCATGTCAGGGAATAGTCCAATCCAACATCATGCTACTTTAGTTTGTGTTCCCAGCTGCAGTCCATCAGTCCGTTGCATGTGGGGTCCACATGTCCACATGGCTATGTGGCTATGGAGGGAACATGGACAGGAGCAAAGCCAAAGGAACCAGAGAACCATGATATCGTGTCAGTTAAGCCACCTCCCTCCCTTACTACTGCAGTGGCTCATCCTCAGGCAGGATGGTTGAAGAGCTTCTGGGGAGCCTGGAGAATTAGCAGTTGCCTGTGTGCATAGTGCTGTATTGGTGAGGGTCCATGTGTGTACACATGTGCTTGGATGCTTTGGTTGACTATAGACAGCTATCACAGTCATCAGATTATTTAAAGAAATATAAAGAAGGCAATAAGAGAATTACCAACACTTTTATCCTCATGATAACTGTTATCGTAAATCATTTTTACACTTATTTCCAACAACAAGCTTTTCCTGGTTTTGTTCCATTTCTGATAGGAGGGCTCAGTTTGCCAGAAGGCACCTCCCAATTCCACGTTTGAACTGAGTCTTTTATGTCATGGATCCCACTCTATGAGTTTCACAGCCTCAGCTCTCATTTCTCTCCACGTGTAACTTGTTTCTTTTACTCTCATGTGAAAGGGTTGTGAAGGAAAGAACCATCCAGCTCTTGGTCAGTATAGCCTGGGCTGTAACAACATACATGTGCCCACAGGAACAGCCTTACCATGAAATTTTTAATTGGAAAATGGTCTGTTGATTTTGTATTGTGATGTTGCCATTTTGTGGCTGAGAAAACTGGTTTTAGAAGAATGTCTGCCTGGTATGGCATGAAATTGGGTTATTAAAAAAGCATACAAGCCCAGAAGCGTGAATACATTTAGCTTTTCTTGGATGACTAATAGAGTGAATGCCCTTTAAAAGTAGATAGATTGTCCATTGTTGAAGGCTTTCAGTTGGATCCTTGAAATTTTGGAAAGAATATCCAAGAAATTGTTACTCCTAGGAAAAATACATTTGGTGTTTTTATTTTAAAAGACTGGGGTATAATAATATGACGATCTTTGAAATTTAGATTTCTAGAACTTATCTTAAAACTCTCACATGTTCTCACCATTTAACTACATAGAATTTTTAATTTGTTTAACTACAGGGTTTTATAACCAAGTTCTTTGGTGGAAATTAAATAAAAAAATAGGAATTAAAAGATTTCATGAGCTCTCTGATGAATCTTTACTGGATAGTCTATCATCTATTACCAAGTCAAGTTCTTGAATATATAAAGCTAATTTTAATTTAATATATTGGGGTGCCGTTAGTTAATAGGTTATATAGGTTTCAAGTGTACATTTCTATAACATATGATCTATATGTTGCCTTGTGTGCCCACCACCCAAAGTAAAATCATCTTCTGTTATCATATGTTTCGCCCCCTTTACCCTTTGCTAACCTTTTACCTGCCTTGTTCCCTCTGGTAACCACCATAATTTGTCTGTGTTTATGAGTTTCATCTTATGTTCCACATGTGAGTAAAATCATATGATTCTTAGCTTTTTCTGACTTATTCCACGTAACATGATATTTCCAAGTCCATCCATGTTGTTACAAATGGCAATATTGCATATTTTCTTATGGCTTAGTAGCATTCCATTGTATATATCTATCTATATCTTTCTATCTATATCTATCTATCTATATCTATCTATGTCTATATCTATGTCTATATCTATATCTATATCTATATCTATATCTATATCTATATCTATATCTATATCTATATCTATATCTATATCTATATCTATATCTATCTAATCTATATATATCTCTCATATATATATACATATATATATGTCATCCTGTTTATCCAATAACCAAGTACAGTAAAGTTGCATGATAAAAAATCAATGCACAAAAAAATCCACTGTATTCCTATATACTAACAATGAAAGTTCAGAAAAAGAAATGAAAAAAAATTCCTTTTGAAATTGCAACAAAAAGAATAAAATACCTAGGAATAAACTTAACAAAGAATGTGAAGGACTTATATACTGAAGACCACAAAGCATTATTAAAAATGATTTAAAAAGACACAATGAAATGGAATAATATTTCATGTTCATAGATTGGAAGAATCACCATAGTTAAAATGCTTATATTACCCAAAATAATATGCAGATTTAATGAAATCCCCATTAAAAT